CAACACCAATGCTTCATAGTAAAGAATGTACAGCAAAAAAAGTGTGGCTAGGACTTCATCTTGGAAAATTAGACATACACACACAGGCACATGTATACATATGCATATATCAAGTGATACATATATATTTAAGACATGTTTATATATTGAATGAGACACAGACGTGCATAATTTAGGTTAAAATTGTAACTCTATGCAAATTCTTCTACATAAGATGAATCAAAGGCTGGTTTTTGTCATTTTCCCCACCAAACTGGAAAAAGTGCTACACAATATGTTTGAATTTCACAGCCCAATTACAGGGATGAAGATGTTTGCAGAAATATTCAAAGACTTGATTAGTTTTCCCATGGGTCCCTCCTACTCCTAGCTATTCAAAGCATTGCCTTATGACACACTTTTACTTTAGGAACCATCTCTCATCAATTTTCTCTTCTCAGTTGTTAGCTGCCTTAATTCCACAGGAAGTCATCCACCGGTGGTTTCACATGTGATGGGGGTGGTCGTGAGGGTCACCTACACAAACCTGATAAAATCCTGCATCTTTCCTCAGAGTTGCCACTTCACTTTCCAGCCATGGGTGGTGCACTCTCAGCCATGGACAAGTACTGAGAGACTAACCAGAAGACAGCTGGGCTCAACAGGGTCTAGGCTAGTGTCTTCAGAGGGTGCTAAGTTTCTAAGTGGTTGGCTCAGGAGCAAACACGTCCATGTTTTGATGTGAACATATGGCCACATTAAAGTAAGGACTTGAAAAATGAACAGTTGGACAAGGAGGCCCTCTCATCCCTCTAACACAGAGGTTGCTATGGTCTGAATGTTTGTGCCCCATCCCTCCACCCACACCCCCAAAAATTCATGTTGAAATCCCAATGTGCTGACATTAGAAGGTGGGGCCTCTAGAAGGTCCCCAAATGAATGAGATTGATACAAAAGAGGCAGGAGAGAGCCCCCTTTCCCCAGTATATGCCAAGAGGCTCCAACAAGAACTCAACAACCCAACCTTGCAGGCATCCTGATCTTAGACTTCCATGGAGCCTCCAGAGCTGTGAGAAATACATTTCTGTGGTTTATACGTCAAGCAGCCTATGGTATTTTGTTATATCAGCCTGAACTAATATACACCACCTGTACTTTACATTGCAGTTGTGGACACACACACACACACACACACACACACACAGTGATCGTAAGGCCTATATTAAATGCCAACAGCACAGAAGAAGAAACAAAGCATTGGTCGGTGCAGGGGAGAGGCAGCCAGGGTGTGGACGGGGAGCACTTGCAGCCTCAAGACGGGAGCAAAACTCTTTAGAGGAAATAAGGGGAAAGTGCTTTCTGGGCAGAGAACACCATGTACAGAGTTCAAGGGTGTGGCCCGTGTGGGACAGCTAGTTAATCGCTGTGGGGCTCAGGCGACCTGGCGGCTGGAAGGACACAGATGGATGGAGTCTAGGGAGGTAGACTATGAGTCTGTTAGATGCAGCTCAGCATTTCTACATCGGGACACTATGGCACTTTTTAGATGTGGGGGGCTGGGGGAGACTGTCTCTGTCCTGTGTGCTGCAGGGTGTTAACAGCATCCCAGATGCCAGGAGCACTCCCTTCCCTCGCTGTAACAACCAAAAAGGTCTCCAGACATTGTCACATGTCTCCTGGAGAAACTCGCCCCTGATCATGAACCGCTGCTGTAGCATCAGCTCCATGAGTGCAGGGAAGACCTAGAATAGGTGACCTGTGGCTATTCATTGAATAAAGAAATGAAAGGAGCAGGGGCAAAAAGGTTGGGAAGAAAATGTTCTCTGAATACAGAGAAATAAAGAGTATTAATGAGATTATCATGGCGCTAGTGCTAAGGAACCTGCCTGCCAATGCAGGAGATATAGAGAAGCAGGTTCCATCCCTGGGTTGGGCAGATCCCCTGGAGGAAGGCATGGCAATCCAATCCAGTACTCTTGCCTGGAAACTCCCATGGCTAGAGGAGCCTGGCAGGCTACAGTCCATAGGTCACAAAGAGTCAGACATGACTGAAGCGATTTAGCACAGCACACATGCAATAAGATGACAAGACATTTTCAAGAGGAGGGGACACAAGTTGAAGAAGCTCTCAGTAAATTCACAGACAAACATCACGGCTGAGAGGGTCAGAGGTCAAGGTGGGTTTGGAGTTTGAAGAGAACGGGTGAGAGTTGAAGAGCAGTTAAGAAGTTAGGGGGACTTTCCTGCCTTCCAGTGGTGGGGACTTCGCCATCCCACGCAGGGGCTACAGGTTTGATCACTGGTTGGGGAGCTAAGATCCCATGTGCCTCTGGGCCAAACAACCAATATGTAAAACAGAAACAATGTTGTAACAAATTCAATAAAAACTTAAAATGGTCCACATCAAAAAAAGGATCTTTTTTAAAAAAAGCAGCTTGGAAACTGACCCCAATGTGAGACACACCCATGCCTAGACTCTGTGAAAGATGGTGGAGAGCCCACAGACTTACTGTTTGGCTTTAATAGTTACCTGTTGCATGAAAACCAGGAGAAAAAAGAAAACAATTTTCTAGTGATGGTAGTTACATAAAGTTTCATTTAAAGTGTATTTGTAAGAATGCTGATATAAGAAACTGAATAATGGAACAGATGGTATGAAGACAGGGCACGTTGTGAAGATGGCATGAGAATGATTGAAGTTTGGGAATAAAAGGCGCTGGCGCCCAGCTGAAGTTGGGGCACGTGACTCCACCCACCTCCTGCCAGGCCGTCTCTGAGCCCTACAAAAGAACCAAGGGGACTCTGCTGCCACCGGGGCTGGCTGCTGGCTGCCTCACTTCCCAGCCCCTGATCTGAGAACAGGACGACAAGGCTTCACCCACCATCTCACAAGAAGAGCCATCTTCACAACCACGGGCCTCTGTTCTGAACACCTAAGCCCTCCACCCCTGCTTTAAATGTCCTCTACTCTTTTAAAGAAATTATTGAAATATAACTGATTTACAATATTGTGTTAGTTTCTGGCATACAGCAGGGTTTCAGATTTTTTTCCATTATAATTTATTATAAGAGATTGACTATAGTTCCTATGCTATACGAAAGCATCTTGTTGTTGATCTTCTAATTATTTTCTGGCTTGTGTTTTGGCTTAACCAGGTGTTAAGTTTCTGGTTCACAGGAATCCCCCACCCCACCCCAGGCACAGGGAAGGGCATGAGGCTCTGGGCATTGTGTCACTCCAGTAATTAAGTGCCATAAGAGCCAGTCACCTACTTAACCTCAAGTCAAATTAATGACCTGCTAATGACTTCCCTGTTTCTGAGAGGCACGGTGACACAAGGCTTTCTCGTTGTTCAGTCACTGTAACATGTCCAACTCTTTGCGACCCCATGGACTGCAGCACACCAGGCTCCTCTGTCCACTCTCTCCCAGAGTTGGGTCAAATTCATTATGTCCATTGAGTCTATTTCCTCTGTGTGTTTCTGAGTGAGTCTCCAGCAGATAACCTATGTAAAGGTCCAGCTCTCCAAGCCCAAGTACAAGGCAGTGTTACTTCCACACAGAAGAGATGCTTGGACCTAGACTTCTAGTCTTCCTTTCGAACTCCCACCCCCATCACTCCAGCTTTAGTGAGTAAAATCGATAGACTGATAGAGGGATAGGAGGGTAGGCATCATTTAATTTTCATGACTCAAAAAAAACAGAAATCTTTGAACTAAGGGGTAGAATAACCTTCTCTAAAATAAACAGAATAGGGATCCTGGATGGTAAACAGTTTCAGGGACCTCCAGGAATAGCAGAGACAGGCTGTTCTGTGCTGATGGGTCCCAAACCAGTATTTTAAACACCCAGCGACATTAACTTTGCATCTTAATGAAGGCTGAGGCACTCTCAGGAGCCGATTAATGCATTACCTCCCCAAGACTTCCCTCTAAGTACTGTAGGTTTTGTTTTTAAAGTCCTGGGTACCACAAATTACACTTAGCAACTACCCAACCATATTATTTCCTTCCTGTCTAATGTAATTTTTCTGTTTCTTTATATAAAGGACCTAGGCTATTTTAAAAAATTATCCTCACTCCTAAATTAACCTGACTTTTGTTTTTAACAATCGAAAGAGCTAAGAACAAGAATGAGGCAGTGATTCTAACTAGCTTCTAAGAAACTGGATGTAAAAATTTTCCTACAGAGCCATCATTTAAAACGGCAAATTGTTCTATTGGGGGTACAGGTTGTGGAGTGTGGTGGGGACCAGGAAGAGAGGACAAGCCACTTAAGGAGGCTCCTCTGTGGATGAAACCGCATGGCATTCCTTCCCACCAGCTCATGTCTTACTCAATCATTTATACAACAAACAATGATTATGTAAGTGCAGGGGGATTGCTGGACAAGTCTGGCAAGGCCCTCCCCATTAGGAGCTCACAGTCTAGTGGAAGCCAAACAGGTAAACTAGAAGATTCCAGTAATTCATTCATTCCACGAAGAATTTTCATTTTTTAATAAATAACCATTGAGTCGTTATCGAGAATAATTATTGAGCAAGACAGGCAAAAGGGCTTATGTTTGCGTGGAAGTTAAACACACAAAGATGATCTCAAAGAGTCAAAAGTGCTAAGAAAAATGCAACATGCTATGTGACGGAGGATCTAAGGTTAGAGGAACCGCCAAGCTGATGAAGGAAGGTGATGAAGTATAAGGGCTCTCTGGGCGGGGGGGATGGGGGTGACACTTGAACTGAGCTCCATCCTTTAAGCCAGGGCCAGGACGCTTTCCATCTCTTCCATGAACACCCGTGTTTCCTAATCTCCTAACCTAACACCCTCCTCTCACCGGGCACTAACCGTGCTGCCTGATGTTAGCGTCTCCGGGTCTACCTTGAGTATCTGCTCCCCGCCCAGAGGCAAAATCTCCGGAAGGCAGGTGCAATGGGATAGAAGGCAGGAGGAAGCTCTTAATAGGTCACCATGAACATTTGCTCCAACACACAGGCGCAGTCGGCGTAAGCAGCCAGGCTGAACCACTCAACAGGCCTCAGAACCCCTAGCAAGCACGGGCTGGGGTGGAAGGAGGAGAGGCGACCCGCCTACGCGCCGAAGAACCGGCCGGGCCGGGCCCAACTCTGCCCAGACGTCCGCGCTCCCGCCTACGCCCGCGAGAGGGCGGGCCGTGTGCCGCGCCTGCGCAGTACAGCGCTCGCGCCTGCGGCCCCGAGCGCTGCCCTCGAACTGCGCCGGCGCGGTGCGCCGGGCGCTAAGGGGCGGGGCTCCGTTGCGCCGCGCGCAAGCCTGGGGCAAAGCCCGGGCCGGGATAGGACGTGGGACAGCGCGTCGGGACGTCCCTCGCATTGGGCCCGAAGGCGCGTGCGCAGTGGGTGGCCGGCTGGGCGGCTGAGGGGCGGGGCGGGGGCAAGAGTGGCCTCTTTGCCTCATTTGTGCCCTAGCGCCGCCCGGACACCGTGCTGACCGCCGACACCATGAAGATCTGGACTTCGGAGCACGTCTTTGAGTAAGTTTGGGGTGGGAGCAGGTCGGCGGGGGTCACGGGGCAACTGGGGGTAGGAGGGTAGGTTGGGCCCGGAGTCGCGGCGAGTCCCCGGCACCCCTCAGGAAGCTTCCGGGCTTCGGGCCTAGTGTGGGGAGCTGGGCCCGAGCGCCTAGGAGCCCAGGGTGTGGGGTCCAAGGTCACGACCCCGGGGACGCCCCAAGAATGGGCTCCCAGGGGACACGGCCGGATGGGAGGGGCCTAGGGACGGGACCCACGCGGCCTTCCTCTGGGGGACGCCCCCTCGGGTGGCGGGGACGGCGCCGAGCACGAGGTCCTTGAGAGCCCCGTAGCCCCGAGGATCCGGGAGAAAGGCGTGGGCTGTCGAGATTCTGGTCGCCCCGCCACCTTCAGGTAGTTTCTTAACCTCGGAATGTGGATTTAGGGTGAGCTCAGGCGACCAGGGAGTGGAACTTTTCCAGCAGCTTCTTGCCTTGAGGAATTGCAATTTATGGCCTTGGAATTGGAGTCCAAGGTACAGCCCTGACCCTGACAAGCTGTGTGACCTTGGGTTACCCATTTCCGTCGTCTGAGACATGGAAGATGACGGTGTTGTCAGGGCCTGCCACCACTGAGATATCTTTGAGGCCATGTTCATTACATCTCCTGGTTAGGGGGAAATGTTTACTAAAGAAAAAGGTCTTAAACAAGTTGGATGTTGGGAATTAAATTCTTTGCTGCTTCCATGATTGTTTGTACAGAAGAACCATGCCTTGAATCCCTGGTATTATTTTTGCCTGAACAGATTGTTGATCGATTATCTCATCACTCTTTATTGACTAATAATTTTTCTCTCACCGGTTTGAAATGCCACCTTCATCCTAAAACACTGCTGTGATTTGTATTTTAATCCATTTCTGAACTATCTGCCCTGTTCCACTGATCTTGCTGCTGTTGCCACACTGTTTTAATTTTTATAGCTTGGTAGTATGTTTTAGCATAACCATTTGATTTAAAAACAAAACAACGTTTCTGAAGGCAGTGTTAAAACAGGTTGTAGACTTTCTACATTCTCATCGAATCAGACACATGCAGGAGTTCGCTGGATCCTAGAAAGCAGAGAATGTTAGAATCAAAGGGAAGGTTTCTTTTCTCCCTAATGTTTACCATTTTTTAGGGGGGAGACCCTAAATTTGTAGTCTTTTTGATATTCTTTAACCAGGTCAAATTCTACTACTCTGTTTGAGCCGTTAGGATCATGGGTGGTTTCTTCTTCGCAGCTTTCTTCTGGGTTTAAATGCTTAAGTTCTTTCCACTGTCTTGTAACTTTCTTCCTTAACACTCTTCTCCCTAGGTTGTTCCCCATCCCTCCTCTCCACTCATTCTGCCCTTTTCTTTAATGTTTCCCTCTCTTTTTCCCCTTCAGTGTAAATGCTCAGTGAAATTCTGCTATTGGCCTTCTTGCATTTCGTCAGAGATTCTTAATTTTTCTCTTTGTCACAGACTTCTCTGAAATTTGATGAAGACTCTGACACTCTGCTCTCAGAACACAGACAGATTCACATAAATGCCCTGCATGTTCTGGGAGAAGCCCTGATTCTCCCCAGATAATCTGGACTTCTCGAACAACGTCCCAGCTGATACATACGCATTTTCAGCAGCCAAATCTGTACCTAGGGCTCCAGCCTCTCTTAACCTTCAAATCCTTATTTTCAGGTTTCAGCAATGTGTCTCTGCTCCAGTGTTCTGTGGGCTTTTCAAACTCAGCATCCCTGAAAATGAAGTTGTTTATCTCCGCTCTCAAATTTTACACTTTCCCTGTGTTTCCCGTCTTGAGGATGTTACTAACTAACATCTAAGTCGTCTTAGATGACTTTCTGTGTCTTTCCCATCTTTGAGTTGCCAGACTTCCTTCTGAGGCTGAGCTTGTGGTTGGTATCTGGTTGAAGTCATTCATTGATTCTTACACCAAATATGAAAGCCCACTAGGCACCAGGTGCTGTTCTTTGGATCGATTCCACTTTGTTAAAATAATCAAGACGACATTGCTGCCCCAGTGAACAGTGTTCCCACATTTTATAGGTGAAAAAATTGGACAGTTCACCAAGCCAGCACCAGTTCTACTGATTGCCTGCCCTTTGGCACTATCTTTGAATGTCTTACAGTGTGAAGTCTTTTCACATGATTACATTAATTTCAGTTAAAATGAATTTCTGGAAGATCATTAATTGTAATATGCATCCTTTGTGATTTTTGAGCTAGACGTGTTTTATAAAGCTAAGTCAATGTCAGTGTTTCCAGGTTGGCCCAGAGAGGAGAGAAGTGCTGAATTACAAATAACATACAACCATCCTGAAGCCTTGGAATTGCTAATTTTTTAGAGGAGGTAGGGAAGAGATAAGTTCCAGGAAGCCAGCTACCCAGAGTCTCTGACTAGATGGAGACAGGGAAGGGCTCACTCATCTGATTCTCATTTTAGACAGTTTCCTTGGTAACACTCAGAGTGTTTGGCCCCTATCACTTCTTTTTGTGGGGACTGTTTAGATTTGTGAAATAGCTTCGCTTGTATGCCTGCACTTAATGCTGAATAAGGCTTGAGATTAAAAATAGAATGGGATTCATTTCTTGAAGTCGCTCAGTCATGTCCAACTCTTTGCGACCCCATGGCCTGCAGCCTACCAGGCTTCTCCGTCCATGGGATTTTCCAGGCAAGAATATCTTCCCGATCCAGGGATTGAACCCAGGTCTCCCGCATTGTAGGCAGATGTTTTACTGTCTGAGCCACCAGGGAAATCATTTTTGTATAGTATTATAGCAAAAATGAAGGCATAAAGAGTAATGGTGGAGTGGGAGGGAGGTTTGAGAGAGGAGACATATGTATACCTATGGCTGATGTATGGCAGAAACCAGCACAATATTGTAAAGCAATTATCCTTCAATTAAAAGTAAATTTTTAAAAAAAAAGAAAAATGATATTGGTTGTCCAGGGTTTTGCAAAGCGAGTGGGATCGAGATTTTCCTTCTGTCCACAAAAAGTTATCAGGCTTAGTTCTCTGAAAAGTTGAAATAGATTAGTACCTACTTGTTTTGCTTTTAGAAAAATAAAAAGCCACGCTGTGTCGTTTATCAGTAAGTGTAGTTTGAAACACCATCTCCAGATCTTGTTTTTCCTTTCAGTGAAGACGTAGAATTAGTCACTTTTAATGCTCATTGTAATTAGTCAGAGACTCACTTGAAAGGGGTATCTTTTGTATTAGTATATTGTTCAGGTAAGCTGTGAAGAGAACAAATGCACATTATGTTGTAAATCACTCAAGTACATGTATTTTTCCAGAAATAGATGCTGCAAGTTCCATGATGCTGTTGCCATCTTAATCCTTCATAAGCAAAGGCTGATGAAGAGAGACTATTAGAAAATGGCACATTAGGAGTACCTTAAAAAAAGTGTATTGAGTGACCTTTTCAAAACAGATGTCAGAACCACTCCTTGGAGGAAAGTAATGAATAAAAAGATTGGCTGGAGGGGTCACAATTACTTATTACGTTATTAGAGGCAAGTACATGTTTAATATGAATCGGTGATTCTTAGAAACAAAATTTACATGTGAGAGGATACTGGTGAGTGGAAAATATGACTCAAGAAACTACTGGAGTGTTCTATAGGTTATTTTAACCTTTCAGGCATCAGCTGTGGCACATAACCTGTGTACTGAAAAAAAGACTGAAATCTGTACATGTTCATAATGTAGACTGCTGCTGCGGCTAAGGCACTTGAGTCGTGTCCAACTCTGTGTGATCCCATAGACGGCAGCCCACCAGGCTCCTCGGTCCCTGGGATTCTCCAGGCAAGAACACTGGAGTGGGTTGCCATTTCCTTCTCCAATGTGTGAAAGTGAAAAGTGAAAGTGAAGTCGTTTAGTCGTGTCCGACTCTTAGCGACCCCATGGACCGCAGCCTACCACACTCCTCCATCCATGGGATTTTCCAGGAAAGAGTACTGGAGTGGGGTGCCATTGCCTTCTCCGAATGTAGACTGAGCCCCCCGAAATCATCTTCCAGTCAACATTTCAGAAACTAATTTTCCCTAGGCAAATTAAGTAAACTTTAATTATAAAGAATAATTTGATGAGTTATATAAATGGTTTAATTTATATGCATGTTGTTAGAGGTTTGATTTTTGATTTGTGTCTGCAGCCATCCGTGGGAAACCGTTACAACAGCTGCAATGCAGAAATACCCAAACCCTATGAATCCGAGTGTGGTTGGAGTTGATGTACTGGACAGACACATAGATCCCTCTGGAAAGTTGCACAGCCATAGACTTCTCAGCACAGAGTGGGGACTGCCTTCCATTGTGAAATCTGTAAGTGTGCCTTTGTTCCTGAAGCAATGTGACTGCTGTAGAGAAGTTTTCTAAACCACATTATAATTTCAGATAGGTTGTGGGAGCCGATTCTGAATGTCATTTTTGCATCAGTTCAAATTGTATTATAATAAACTTGAGTTATGAGTGTATAATGAATTGGAAATATTATTACAATCTTCATGAAGTCACCTGATAAAACCTTCTGAAGGAAGCCAGCTAATGCTCTGTGATCTGAAAGTTTTATTCTGCTTTTCCTACTTTGCCAATAGCTAGAGCTATGGCAGCTGGGATTTGGTGCTGGTGCAGCTGCTGGGGTCAGTGGTGTTGCGACGTTAAGTGAGGCATAATCTTAGTTTGCCATGGCCATGTTTGTTCCAAGATCTGGTGCTTCTGCCTGTACATTGAAAAATGTAAATCTATGCTCTTTCAAGGGAGCAGGTTTTAGGGAGCCATTCTATCCTGATGGGAGAGAATCCTGGTATAAGTGGACCAAGTTAT